CTCCATGCTGTGCCCTGGAAGCAGCCAGCAGGGCCTGATCCTAGAGAACTCCATGCACTGCCAGCCCCACTGCTCCACTGCCTGGGAGCCACCCAAGGCCCCAATCTTGAGCCCCAACCCCCTACCACAGCCCTGATCACCCCAAACCCAGGGCCCTCTCCTTGAGCCAGGTTGGAACCTCCTCCCAAGCCCTGAGCTCCAGAACCTGCACCCCTAGGGTGTGTCTAAACTACATGGATCCAGCGATGAAGCCATGTAGATTAGGCTGGTCGGCAAAGGGAAACGAAGCCATGATTTAAATAATCGCGGCTTCATTTAAATTTACATGGCTGCCGCGCTGAGCCGATAAACAGCTGATCAGCTGTTTGTCGGCTCAGCGTGCTAGTCTGGACGCTCCCGTGCCGACCGCATCTGACGAAGTGGGTCTTTGCCCACGAAAGCTTATGCTCCTACACTTCAGTTAGTCTATAAGGTGCCACAGGACTCCTCGTCGCTTTTGCAGATTCAGACTAACACGGCTACCCCTCTGATAGCTGATCAGCTGTTTGTTGGCTCAGTGTGGCAGCCATTTAAATGTAAATGAAGCCGCAATTATTTAAATCGCGGCTTCATTTCCCTTTGCCGAGCAAACAAATCTACATGGTTCCGTTGATGGAGCCATGTAGTTTCAACGTACCCCTAGAGCCCATAACCTTCTGGCCTTCACTTCTATGAATCTATTAAACAAGTCCCAGAGAAGATCCAGGCATTTCCAATCAGAGGAGCTTTTGAAAATCCTCGCCTTTGCCTAGACCAATGTTTCTCAACCAGTGATACGAGTACCCTTAGGAGTACTCGAGAGAAGTCGGGGGGTACGTCAACATAACACGTGAGACCCTCTCTCTGTCACAGAATTCAACAAAGTGACTTGCTAATAAAAGCCTAACGTCTCTGTAACAGTAACCAGGTATGAATGAAAGTGTGAGGAGCGGTGAGGACTGGACTGTATGTCCAGTAAAACTCACCCTGAAGTAAATATGCGTCTATGTGGTGCACATTTGTAATCAGTAGCTTTCAAGATATTAGGCAGGTGGGAAGTGAATTCTGAGCTTAAGGTCAGGTAGGTGAGATGTTGGCATCTCCTGATAGCCTGAGTCTCTCCATGCTGCCTGTTTGCTCTAGTGTTGCATTGTTTGCCTGTTAGTCAAGCTCTCATTCTTGTTGTCAGTCTCCCTAGGCCGCCATGTTTTACCTACCACATGCCGGGTAGTAACATGCGAGAACTTTGTGTTTCTAAAACTAAACCAGATCTATAATAAGAGAACGCTTCATGCAGGTGCTCCAACTGTAGCTATCATTCCAGCCACGTGCCCACAGTCTGATTTCTGGGTGCCTCCTCCAAACTCTTCCCTCGTGCAATCTGTGCTCCTCCCTCCAAGTTCCATGCAGATTGCTGCCTATGAGTAAGATCCTGAAATTCTGCGTCAGCTTTCACTCTGTCCTTTAAAGAGCCAATGGAAGTTAAGCTTAAATGAGGACAATAGTAATTGTTTGTTCTTTACCACGCGCTCTGTTGGAATGTACAACGCGAGTGATAATCCCAACTGCTCAAAAATCACAAGATTGGCGTAAAAATCATGACTTTTTAAAATATTAAATGTGGTCCCTTTTTCTTGTGCCTTCTACCTAGTGAGACTTTGGAAGTCACATTTCCAAACTTCTTCTGTGCAGCAGCAACCAGGACTAGAAACTTCCTTCAAAAATAGCTGCGGTGCTCCTGACGCTGGGAGCTGTCGCTTTTGCGGGGGAAAACCCTAAACGCCAGGAGACAAAAGCAAACCAGGAGATCTGGAAATATTGCTGTTCAGTGATTCACATGGAACAATCAGGCAGATGGTTTAATAGAACGCATCATTAAAATAATGAGCTGGGAAGAGAAGGTATATAGGTAATGAAGTAAGAAAGTGCGAATCTCCTTCAAGTCTAGAGAAGAGCTGCTAATGGCAAACGGCAGGGATCCGGCTGCCCTATTATCTTGATGATCTCCCAGGGAATGAACTGGCTTTTACTAAACAAACAAACAGAACAGAACAGAGCTCCTGCCCACGCATTCTGTGCCAGCTGCCAACGTAACTACCAAGATATGTCCAGTGGGTCCATAATCAATGGAGAGGGCCAGACTATTACACCGGAATGAAAGGGAAAGGATGACATTCACACTAATGCAGATGACCTTGCATTTGGCACCACTTACACCCTGAGCTAAATGATAGGCAGGGATTTGCATAGATCGTCTGACCAGGGATGAATTTTATCCTATAAGCCCTACATGAGGCAGAATTCATAGCAAGACTAGTGTCAATTCAAGCTGCAACTCCTCCCCCGCCCCACTCAGCTTGCACTTCTACGGTTTCATGGCAGGACCAGGGTCTATAACCGAGGGGGCCACATTTTCATCTCAGTTCCACCAGTTTAACTTTGGAGTAACTCCACCACAGCCAGCAGAGTTACAGATTTGCACAGTTGTAAGGACAGCATAACCCGGCCTCCTCAAAGGTCAGTTCATGTGAGTGGCTGGAAAGTCCCTCCCCATCGCTTCAATAACCTCGCTTGCTGAGCTACCGCCGGTTGGACACTTCGGATGACTGATCAAGCACAACCAAGTTCCATAAAATGTCACAGAATTGCAAACAGACGAAGTACTGGCATGTGCACGCGCCAGAAACAACCCTCCCCCCAGATCCCAAACAAGCCAAGCTCTTAGGAATGTGCTTAACATTAAGCATGTGAGCAGACAAACGCAGCCCGTCAGATGATTCACTTGCCTAACTTTATTTGCTGGATCAGGGCCCCCCGGATGGTCTTATTTTTTAAAACTTCATCTCTCTCCATCCATTGCTTTTTCCTCCTCCATCCTTATATAGGCTGGGGCCTGCAACAAGCGCCACCCAAGAGCAGGCTCCACCCACACAGGATTGGGGCATAATTCAAAACTCGCTCCCACAAGGTGCTCAGCACCACCTCCCAAGGACTTCCATGGGAATTAGTGCCCTCAGCATCTCACAAGACCAGGTCCTCAGGGCATGTCTACACTACAGAGAAGATTGACCTACCAGAGGTTGATCTTCTAGCGTTCGATTGAGCGGGTCTAGTATAGACCCGCTCAATTGAATGCTGAGAGCAGCCCCCGCCCATGTCTGGTACTCCTCCTTCTGTGAGGAGTAAAGGAAGCCGGCGGGAGCGTGTGCTCCTGTCTGCCTCCCATAGCATGGACGGGGATTTAAGGTACATTGACTCCAGCTATGCAGTTAACATAGCTGGAGTTGCATATGTTAGGTCGACCTTCCGCTCCAGCATAGACCAGGCCATAGTTAGCTGCTGAGGCAGGATCCATGCCTTTTATGTTTCTGTGCAGAATGTCGCACTGAAAGCCATCGTGCATGCTGACATGACGCATAAATACTAGTTAACAGACTGCAGCTCTTGAAGTTTGGGAATTGTCATTTGTGGGAATGAGGAAAACAGGGCAGAGAGGGACGGGTAGGGAGCAGCGCTACTGTAGCTTGCCAGGGTCGTTACTAGCAATCCATGGCAGTCAAAACCCACAAGCCCTGCACTCTTCGGTGTTAACCTGTAGCCCCAGCTCTGAAGACGAGACAATTGCAGCCTTCTGTTGTCAAGGCTGCGCACTGCCAGTCCTTGGGAGGAATTCTCTCAAGGGTGGGGAACCTCAGGCCTGAGGGCCGGATGTGGCCCCCGGCTTGCCTGGATCCGTCCCCCGAGGCTCATGGGGAGTGTCATCTCCTTCTCAGTCGGGGGCCATGTCAGTGAGGGTTTTGCTTTGGTTTTGCTTCTTATTTGTGTGTGGCCCCCGACTGATTTTTCTGTGGGTCAGCAGCCCCCAACTTAACAAAAGGTTCCCCCATCCCTGCACTAGAGGAGTCCTTGGGGTTGCAGAGAAAAGACTGAAAACGTGATCCTAAATATTCAGCAACCAGTAAGGCCAGGAAAAGATCCCCCACTTTAAGAATCTCCGGATTTTTTTTGAATGCTGATTCATGATTTTTCAGTGCTTGAGATTAGCGATACTGTAATTTGACAGCCCTTCTAATTGACCGCACAGACATGACAGGCCCCAATCCAAACCCTAGCTCCGAACAATCCCAAACGGCGGCCGCACCGCATCTTAAATGCTCAGCAAAGACGCAGCTGTTAATGAGCTAGCACGGAGATCACCTTTGAACATTTTTGAGCAGCCTGGCCACCCTGAAAGATCTGTAATTCTCTCACACATACACACGGCCCAGCCATGCAGAGAACAAGAAAAAAATCCCCTTTGTGACCATGTCGCTATGGCTTCTATAGCCCCACGCCTGTGCCGCTGCCATCACGTCCGATCTATCCCCCTGAGTTGTAGCTCCTAAAATAGCCCCAGCTGTCGGGCTCCATCTCTCCTCAGAGCCATTTGTAGAAATACAAGCTGAGCGGGGGGAGGGGGTAGGATTGCAGCTTGAACTGGCACTGGCGTGGGGACAGACAGGAGCACAGTGAAAAATGCACCGGAGAGAAGAGCAACGCTTGGTGTATGCCTTGGAAATGAAATAAAATAAAATCGCAGCCTCCCAACGCCCACCCCCACCCCCACCCGGCGATATGCACAAGTTATGAAGGTCCAAGTTAATGCCCCGTGAGAAACCTCCCCCTCCTCCCCACACCCCACACACACCCTTCCCTTCTTTCCACATCTCTTCTGGAGACTGCTCTTTATCTTCCTGGTCACTGAAGCAAAATGATCAAATGAAACAATCCAAATACTGCTCAGGCCAGTGGCTCCTTCACCTCCAGCTCTGTGGTCCTTCCCCTCAAATGCCTTCAACAAGGCAACGAACACTCAGCTGTACTGAACGTGGACTCCAAAAGCCTCTCCTTCCCCACCCCCCCCAGCCATGAACGAGCCCCTCCACCTGCCCCAAACGGCCCACTCCCTGCTAGACTCCTTCGGCTGACGTCTGGGACCTTACCTGGAGTCCTGTCAGAGGCGGAAAAGACAAGCAGCTTTCATCGGAGTGAGGGGCAGATCTTTCCTGAGAGACACACGGGGGGAAAGAGCTGTGGGGCACATGGGGAGACCATCTGGGGTTTGGTCTCCCCTTCCCCGCCAGAAAATAAAACAGAAACCCCCAGCGAGGGTGGGGATGTGCAGTAAAAGGTCCCCTAGTCCTCCTGGAGTGACTCCACCGCTGGAGGTCTAGGCTGTGTCAACCCAGCCCACCCCTCCCCCGAATTGTCCTCCTCCACTCGAATTGCTGACATGCTTGGCTCTCCTGCTGCCTCCCAGCTCCAAAATAGCCCTGGGTGTCATTTACAGGAGAGATTAAATTTCTGCTGGGAGAGAGGCGAAAGGGCATAGTTCTAGGGTATGACTCGGCCCATCCACAGTAAGGCAAAAAAAAAAAAAAAAAATCAGCTAAGGAGTGTGCGAGTGTGTGTGTGTAACAGGCTGTGGGTCCAGCATCTGTCAGGCCCGCTTCTTAAGTGCATATCCTAGAGCCAAGTGATAGCAGCTAAACAGGAAGAGAAGAACAGGCCCTTGGCAAAGTTCATCCATGTTACACGTGTCTCCGCTTACAGATACATCAGATCAGTAACGGGGTTTCTGAGGAAAAAAAGAGCTCATTTTCGAGTTGGCTTCTTAGGCCAAGGACATTTGCAGAACAACCGACAAACAGCAAATGAACAAAACCGATCGTTGTCGCTCTCTCTCCATGGGTGCATCTAGACTACATGGCTCCATCGATGGAGCCATGTAAAATAGTTTACTCGATATAGTCAATGAAGCGGGGATTTAAGTAATCCCCGCTTCATTAAAATAAAAATGGCCACCACGCTGTGCCGACAATCAGCTGATCCAGCACGGCGCGGCAGTCTAGACACGGTGCGGTCAACTGCTTCCCTTGTCGACCGCGCCTCATCTAGACTGCCGCGCTGTGTCAGATCAGCTGATTGTTGGCACAGCGTGGCGGCCATTTTTATTTTATTTAAATTCCTGCTTCTTTAATCCCCACTTCATTGACTATATTGAGTAAACTACTTTACATGGCTCTGTCGACGGAGCCATGTAGTCTAGACGCACCCTTGGCCAAGGGGGAGTCTGCTCTGAAAACCAACTCTGCAAAAATGGCTCCGTGAGATTGCCGATTTGCTGCCTCTGTGGCGCCTGGTCATGTGGTCTCATGTCCAGAGGTAAAAACTGCTACTTCCTTACACGCAGCCTAGAACGCAAGAACTCATTCTCGTCTCCGTGTTACGGCAGATGAAGATTTTGCAGTTGGAGCGTAGTCAGTAATTGGGGTGATGGTTCATGAGTGTGAATAGAATCCAGCGCATTCTCCTCTCATGGCTCTGCCTGGGTATGGGTACCAGGAGAGAAAAGGAGTGAATTCTTATTTGAAGTGGACAAGTAAGCCAATAACGGGTGTATTTGGGACCCGGAGCAGGACTGGTTGAGTAAGAATGTGCTACTTTTACATGCAAGGCGTAGTCCTGTGGCACCCAGGGGACTTTTGGGTCTCTTTTGGGTCGTGGGCCGCTGACCCACAGAAAAAAATCAGTCGGGGGCTGCACAAAAATTAGAAGCAGAAATTCCCCCCAAAACAAAATGTCCTCACTAACGTGGCCCCCGATGGAGACACTGAAAGACACTCTCCAGGATCCCCTTGCACACAAGAGTTTAGGGGGGCCCAGGCTAGTAGATTTTGAGGGCCACCCTTAGGCTCTGGGGTGGGGCTACAAATGAGAGGTTCAGTGTGTGGGAGGGTGCTGCTGGGAAGCAAGCTTGCAGGTGGGGGTTTGGTAGGGTGGCAGCATGCAGAAGGGTGCTGGGGTGGGTGGGAGGTAGGGTACAGGAGCAGAAGGGGAGCAGCTGTGGGCAGGGGGTGAAGGGGCTGCAGGTTGGTGCATCAATGCCAGTTCCCTGATGCTGGTGGGGAGCCCCGAGCCCCAAGGGTCGGATCCAAGCTACCCCCGAAAGCTCATGCTCCTATATATTATTCTTAACCTCTAGGTGCCACAGGACTCCTCCTTGTTTTTAAAGATACAGACTAACAAGGTCACCCCTCTGAGATTTCTACTTTTACACACCCAGTGTTGCTGTAGCCTGGCTGATCCCCAGGATATTAGAGCCACAAAGTGGCCGAGGTCATTTCTGTTGTCAGACATCTGCTGGTGAGAGAGAAAAGCTTGCAAGCTTCCGCAGAACTCTTCTTCTGGACCTTGAATCAACAGGCCAGAATCAGACCTTTCAGGCTAACGCCTGCCATGAAGTTTCTGAAACTGGAAACAGTTGCTCCAGGTTCTAGCTACACCATCATCCAAGATGTATTCGGAATCACAAACCACGTGAAATTAATTATTATTGCTACAGCTGGCGTCACCATGGGGCACTGTTATTCATAGTTGCAGGGGGGGGCAGTTTTGGGGGAGGGTGAGGGACTACTTATGAACTGTGCACTTTAAAACAGCTGGCGCTAGTGGAGAAAGTAGCTGTCCTGCCCATGAGACCGCCCCAAAATTAACGTGTTCCCTTCTGAGCTGACCAATCCATTGTCCAGCTGACCGAGAGAGAGAGATTCCATTCCCAGCGAGGCTGAGAGCACAATAAAACCATGACAAGAGTTTTCTTGTTAGGTTATTACCTACCCCTAACCTCCAACTGCAGGGCAATAAGCCAGTCTTTGCCAAGAGGCATTGAAACATCAACAATACACCCAACTTTATCTAACCACCCAAGACATTTATTTAGATCCCAACTCAGAAAATGTAGGAAGGGAACAAAGATAGCAAGGAATAGAAGCCTTTTGTTTGAATACAAAAGTCAGTATTCACATTAGAACTCAAAATGAAACAAGATCTACTATATATCAGAGGAGTTTGTGCATCTATGTGTCTGTCTGTCCGTGAGTCCATTTGTTCAAGAGCTCACCTAAACAGTAAAAACTGGGATCACCAAATTTAATATGCAGCTTCCCTCTTAGTGTAACTTAAAGCAGGGTTGGGGTTTGGTTGTGCCAGGACAATGGGGTGTGCCTGGAATGGGATTGTTTCTCCTCAAACAGAAAGGGAGGAATGTGATAGCAGGGAACGTTATACCAGGGAGTTATATGGGGGAGAAGCTGGTGAGTGGGCTGGGAGACCCACATCGCCCTGGGCTGGGCCCAGGAAGCAGCCATCAGATGACTCACTCCCTTCTCACCCC